AAACCTAGTAGTGACATATGAGAGTGGAGAACTAGTAGCACCAGAACAGCATCAGAGATAAACTCATCATACAACTTCTGCAGGTGAAAGATGGTGAAGTATGTAAGGTGGTTCTGAGAGATGCTTGAAGAACAAAGAGTGCTTTAAGCTTTTCAGAGAACAAAAGGTTTTGTGGGAGGAAAGAGGAGTGAGAAAAACGAATATTTGAAGCCTCTGTGGTGACTGGAAGTGTATGTCTTTAGAGCTTTGTGATGTGTGTTGGTGCTCTAAATTTAAAGTTGTGCATGTATTGAAAGCAAGCTCTCATTTTACTACTTCAGATGGTCTAATACCTCTAGCTTACCAGAAATAAATTTGTTACTGAGCACTGTGGTTTTTCAGGCTGTTAGCTGATTTGATTGAATGCACTAGACAACATGAACTCTTACTGTAGAATGGACCATTGTTGCATGTATTGTATAACTAATAGGCTAACCTACACTTCATTGAACATCTTGAAATTTCTCATCAAGATCCTGTCAAATAATGAGGCAGGTGAATAGTGGGCACAGTGCATCTGAGCGTTCAGTTTAGGTTTCCTGTTGCTTTAACTAAAACATTATGGAAAAAAAAACAAAAACATTTCTGCTGCATCTTGAATTTTTTTTTTTTTTTTTTCTGTAGAAACACCTGTATCTGTGGCAAAAGCAAGCTCCTTGACTGATATTTTCTGAAAAATTGGTGCAAAATACAAATATAGACTGAAAATACCAGTTTCTTTTTTTGGTTTTCTGCTGTAAGATGACTGAAGGCCAAAAAGTGCTCCTTCTGAAATTTGTTCTGTGCTGGTATAATCATCTGCATTACTGCTTTTGTCAAGCTTTGGCTTTTTTCCAGGTGTCTTAGCTGAACTAAGTAGAAAGGAAATAACTTTAGAACTCTTAAAATTCAGGGTGGATTCCTGTTCTGGTTGGCATCCTGAAATAAAATGGCTTAGGCTCAGGACAGCTCTTGCTAATTTGTGTAAATAGCTGATGGAAAGGAGTGAAAAAGGTGGAGGCAGACTCTTCTCAGTGGTATCCAGTGACAGGACAAGAGGTAGTGGACAAAAGCTGAAATACATTAAAGTCGACTTTAAGATAAGAAAATACTTTTTCTTTTTTTTCAGTGTGAGGGAAGTCAGGAGCAGAAATAAGCTCCCCAGAGAGTTTGTGGATCCTCCATATGTGGAGACACTTGAAGTATCAAAAACACAGGCCTGAGGAACCTCTATCTGACCCTGTTTTGAGCAGGGGGGGACTAGATAGGCCTCAAGGACTATTTTCCAGCATCAACCATTCAGGGATTCTTAAGACAATTCCCTATTATTTGATTCCTTAAAACCTATAAGGTTTCACTTCAATATGAGAAATAAAAAGGGAGTTTTCAAGCAGGTGAGAACCAAATAACTCATACAGAGATTGATAAGCTTACAATGTTAATACTAGTTTTTCTGAGTACCATTCATGACTATATCTTGAAATTTAAGACTTTGACTTTAATATTTAAACAGGAAGTAAAATGCAAATCCATGCATATACTTTACGTTGTATATTTTCATTACTTTCTGCTTTTGTTTGTTGGAAAGTCAACAGATAATATTTATGAAAGCTGACCTGTATGTGTGTTAAGTGTTCAAAGAAAGTTTATATAATGTCCGAATGATTTAGGAATAAACGCAAAGTTACATCTGCCATATTTACATTTTTGTCTTTAGAAGGTATATGAAAACTTTAATGGTATTTTGCTACCACTATTAGATCTTTTTATCTGAGTTTGCAAGATGATAAAAGAACAATAAAGGCTGTATTGCTTATATGGTCTCATGAAAGCATAGATGACTTTTTTTTCTAATGTAGTGAGTAAACTGGTCATTTTGAAAAAGATTGTTTGGATTTTTGCCTTTTGGTCAGATAATCTACAAGAATATCAACTATAGTAGGTTAATCAATAATTCACAGTTAAAAATCTCTGCTATATATTCTTTTAATACTCCTAACACCTCCCCGCCTTGTTTAAATAACATTTGTCATTAAGGCAAAATGTTGTCTTAACTCTTAAAACTGGGCCTTGTGATAGACATTTCTATGTATTTTTTTCACATTCAATGAAAGCACCAACAACTTCTCCATAATACAGAGTACAATAAAATGTTGTTATTAATTGTGTCAGCTGGTAGCTGTCAGGAAGCCAGGGTAGGGCTGGCTAGTTGCGTAGTACAGATAAAATGCTGTGTTTCAGTGACCTCCATCTGACCTAATACTCCCTGTGTCCATACAGAATAGTTTTGATAATTCAAAGGCAGTTATGGAATTCATTAGGGGAAAAAAAGGAATAGAACATGTTTTATGTTTACTCTTTTTGCACCTCAGTTACACCTGTAACAGTTAGACCACTTAAGAACCAAACCCCATTCTTCTAATATGCAGTGAAAGGCCCTCCATGTAATGAGCTTTCCAAGCTACAGATGGAGCATAAACAAGGTACCACATAGTTTACTTTTAGTAATTTCTTCAGAACTTCATAAATATATTCAAGAAAAAAATAAGCATCCTTAAAATAATTAACACTAAAATACTTGTTCTGCTCTATTGAAACAGACTGTTCTGCTATGTCCAGTGTCAGTGATTCAGAGATCCTTAATTTATAATAGAGTCTCATACTTTTATAAGCTGACTAAAGAGAAAATCGAACATAGTGCTAAGTAGTGTAACTGCTGTTACTCAGGGTTGTTCAGTGATATTGCCTCTAGATACCAAATTGAAGCTACCAAGTAGCAAAAGCAGACATGTTTGTTGTGCATAGACACAGAGAAACAAGAATATTTGCTTGTAACCATGTTTCCAAAAATGTGGTTAGGGTGCTGTAACTGGTAAAAGACTCCTGAAAAGTGATTTTTGTCATAGTTACTTTAAGAATGCCTGAATGCCTGAATGCCTTTTGGTGGTTAAACTATTGTTCTGTCCATGAAAACCATACAGTAACCTATTTTTTGAATCCTTATTGCTAAAATACTCAGGACTTCCAAATGATAAAGTTCCTTAGTAATACTGATTTCAAACAGAACATTAGAAAGTACAAAGAAAACACCGTGTTTTTAAATGAACCAAGTTCGCCTTAAATGTGACAAGTCCCAGAGGGACCTTGACACGCTTGTGAGGTGGGCTGATGCCAACCTTATGAAGTTTAACCATACCAAGTGCAAGGTCCTACACCTGGGTTCAAGCAATGCCAGGCACAGCTACAGGTTGGGCAGAGAAGAGATTCAGAGCAGCCCTGCGGAGAAGGACTTGGGGGTGTTGGTCGATGAGAAAATGAACACGAGCCATCTTCAGTTTGCGCTTGCAGCCCAGAAAGCCAACCGTATCCTGGGCTGCATCAAAAGGAGTGTGACCAGCAGGTCAAAGGAGGTGATCCTGCCCCTCTGCTCTGCTCTCATGAGACCTCTCTTGGAGTATTTTGTGTAGTTCTGGTGTCCTCAACGTAAAAAGGACATGGAACTCTTGGAACAAGTCCAGAGGAGGGCCATGAGGATGATCAGGGGACTGGAGCACCTCCCATATGAAGGGAGGCTGAGAAAGTTGGGGCTGCTCAGCCTGGAGAAGAGAAGGCTGCATAGAGACCTCATTCCAGCCTTCCTGTATCTGAAGGGGAGCTATAAGGATGCTGGGGAGGGACTCTTCATTAGGGACTGTAGTCATAGCACACGGGGTAATGGGTTAAAACTTAAACAGGGGAAGTTTAGATTTGCTATAAAGAAGAAGTTCTTTACTGTAAGGGAGGTGAGGCAATGGAATGGGTTGCCCAGGGAGGTTGTGAATGCTCCATCCCTGGCAGTGTTCAAGGCCAGGTTGGACAGAGCCTTGGGTGAGATGGTTTAGTGTGAGGTGTCCCTGCCCATGGCAGGGGGGTTGGAACTTGATGATCTTAAGGTCCTTTCCAACCCTAACTGTTCTATGATTCTATGATTGTATAAGTAATACGTATGCCTTACAGAGCCATCTGATTGATTCTCCACTGAATGACCTGTGTATTATTTAAGAACAATTCCTTTTATCAAACTAAAACTATGAAGCATTATGGTTTAATATCTGAAATCAGTATCAATCAAAACAGACAAGACTGGTGTAGTCAATCTTTTGTATTATCTGTTGTCCTGGAAAATAGTTGCAAATATCTGTTGAAATTCATTCTGTCGTTAAAGAAAGTAACAGGAGCATATATCTTGTAAAGCACATAGAGCCTTCTTTTACTGTAGCTACTCTCTGCAAACTTTGAAATCATTACCAAATTGTTACCTTTGAATTTTTAGAATCTTATAATCATATTAATGTTCTAAATAACATCAGATATCTACCTAATTCATGGAGATAAGATTATTTGCAATCTGATATAATGGAGATTTTGGTCCAAGTTTTCTTCTGTGTTGTCAACAGCAGGTATTCACAAAAGCATACAAATAAGAGAAAGGACATAATGAAAAGGGGATTCTTTTATCACTTATAGTGGCTTTGACCTCCTACATTCTTTCTTAAAAGTGTATTGAATGATACCTGGTTCATTTAATCCCAAACACTGAAGTACTTAGTAGTTTCACACATGAGAAGATGCCTTTCCAATACTAAAGCTTAAGGAATTTTGCATTCCACATTTGATAATTTCTGGTGGTGTTTCATCTTACAAGAGATTCACAGGTGATTCTGTCAACATTAACTAAACTAGGTGGTTCTCCAGGTAGGTAAAACCTGTGATTTAGAATAAGTAATTTTGCTTTTGCACCAGTAAAATGTGGAAGAAGAACCTGGATATGACTTTTATTTACGGTGCAGTCTAGAAAAAAGCTATGCACAGAAAAAATTCTTGTTTGAGTTTTTTTGTTTTGTTTTTTTTTTTCTTATTTTTTAATAGCTCATTTAGCCCAGTACTTTAAGTTGCCAATTTCCATTTTGCCACTATGGCATCTCTTTTTTTTTTCTTTTCAGGTGCACGTGTACAACAGGATGGACAGGGCCAGACTGCAGCGAAGATATAAATGAATGTGATTCTGAACCATGCTTGAATGGAGCCACCTGTTATGAATCTGTTAAGCAGGGACAGTTTGTATGCATTTGTCCTCCATTTTATACTGGTGACTTCTGCCATCAGCGCTTCAGTCCCTGTGAGCTGCCTTACAATCCATGCGTAAACAATTCAACCTGCTTGGCACAAGCCGATGGAAATCCAGTGTGCATTTGCAAAACAGGTAAGAACTGGTGTAGTTACTCTGTTCAGTTGTCTGTTGTTCTGCAGAAAAATTGCAATGATTTGAATTTAATGCTGTCTGTAGGGAAATGTATTACCTATCAAAGCAGATCAAACCTTCATTAATTATAGCAGGCTTATCAGTTATGATGAAAGACTTAAGATAGATGTCAGTTTGCCTACTATCAATTTCTTATATTACAGTACTTATTAAATCTATGTCTGTTTAGATACCAGCGTTCAGAATTACTATGTCTGTGTAAATTGTTACAACATGCATCTAGCCAGCAGACCTGACAAACCAAATTGACAGAATAGAAAGGCAGAAATAGAAAAGATATATGCAAATTGTTAAGAGTAAAAAAAAATATACATGTTGGAAATGGTTCCTTTTCCTGCTGAGCTGTCAGGAAGGCCTGGCACATCAGGGGAATAATCTTCTGCCTAATGGGCAGAGAGGATTGCTCTCAGTATGCACAACAAGCTAAATCACAACAGGTGCTGACAGCTTTCTTGGGCCATGGCTTAAAAGACATGATCTCTCCCTAGATGTACAAGAACTGTGCATAGTTCATACATACAAGTTCTTGCCCATCAAGCAAGAGTTTAATTGTGCAGAACATCACTATGCAATTCTGCAAAGGATTTGAAGAATACATTAACAAATGAAAACTGCAGTGAAAATGTAAGAAGCAAAAGTACAATTACTGAATCTGGAATTTAGGCAGAATTTTTAACTCCTCACTTTTATACCTATAAATGGTAGGGGTGTCCTGGGGACCAAAGACAGCAAATATGTTAACTGCGATATTATACCACAATAGTATTATTTTTTGTTTACTGAGCTTCAAAGATACAGAGATAATACATACAAGTCAGCAATGCTTATAGCTCAGGTTTTTTACTATTAAGGTAAAGGTTACCACAAGTTGATGAGTTAAAAAATGGTCTCTGGGAAGGTATGCACATTGCTTAATGAAGCCACTTGGAGAAAAGCTGCTTTTTAAAAACAGCTTTTAATACAATATAGTGATTTTGAAACATTTTTCAGAAATGATCTGTAGAGACATGTAGTTCAAGTCTTTTCTCAACATTCTTATGAAAAGTCTTCTTTTCAAAACATTTTGTGTGCACAGTATCAAGAATCCAAAAAATTTGCAGCCAAGATTCTCAGAGAACTTTGATGGAATCTTCAAGTATTCCTGAAGCTTGCAGCTAGGAATCTTCAGGGAACTAGCAGGGGAGTTATGTGAAGCGGTAGTGAACATGCACTCCTAACAAACCTTGTAAAATGGAAAATACTTCAGTATTGCAAAGGTCTAAAAGGCATAATTCATGAAATGAGTTAATCATTCCTGATAGGAAATATACAGCCACTTATTCAGGACTCTTATCAAAAAAAGAGAGGCAGTAAAATACAGGAATTTAATTGAAAGCAATTTATGGAAATTATTTCTACAGTTGTCTTTTTTTTCTTTCATTCTCCTATTTTTATCTTCCATGTGCTTCCCTTTTTCTCCCAGTAAACCTGCCACAATTACAGATCTGATTGCAAACAGAAGTCACACTGACATAGATAGATTACTCCAAGACTTGGTAACAAATGGCATGCAATTAAATAACTTGACGGTAGTTACCAGTCCAGTCATTAGAAGGTATGGGTCTGATTTAGCAAGAGTCACAAAAAGTAGCTGTGCTTACCATATTCTAAAGATTATCTTTAGAAAACCATATGTGAGGTGGGTAAAATAGGGCCACAAATCATGCTGCTAACTGTGGTACATATTTAGAAGAAAAAGAGAATATCTACTGACTTCAGGGAACTGGGATTGGAATGCCATGCTAGGGCAGAAAGGACAAAAACTGATGGAGTACAAATTGGGCACAATCTGACTTCATGGAAGATACTAACCTAGGACAGAATTATTACGGCAAATTGGTAGGGAGATCATGAAGTCATGATTAGTAGTAGTATAAAGAAAAGATACACATCTTTGTTCTGTGTATGTCAGGGAGTTACAGTTGTCTGGTTTTGCATTGAAGATTTTTAAAATTCAATAAATAATATAAATGTAAAACTTCCTTTTGAGGTGTCTACCCTAGCTGTAAATGTTTGCTTCCTGCAAGGAGCTAGATTATAACATTCGTAATGCAAAACTTAGCTGTCATATGGTAGACTATGGAGCAGTGTTAGACTGTAAGTTTAAGTTGTCCACAGAATTAGGTTAAGCAGTTAAAAAAATTGTGATCTCTACAATTGTATGCTGGTATATTCATGGTTGCAAGAATGTTGTAGGGACAGCTATTATTGCAAAAATTCAGGAATCACTGCAGTACAGCACGTTTGCCAAGCGTTTTATAGAAAATATCTCTTCTCATCTACTTTGCCAGTGACTGATAAGCAAGGGTTTGATCAAGGCAATAGGGAGGAGATGTCTTTTAAGCTGCTATGCATATACCTAGCACTGAATCCTGCCATTAGTTTCTCCTGAAATGCTACATAATAAATTCAAATGAAACAGAGGAGGAAAAGACAATTTAGGGCAAATAGTAGAAAATTTTATAGCTTAATTTATCAACAAGTTTTCCTGTTCTTGAATAATTCAATTCTTGGAATTAATAATAGAAATGAAAATTTAGTGTAACAGAAGAGAAGGTTAGGAAACATGAACAAAGCTATAGTATATGAATCACCTTTAAATAGTTGTAGATGAGCATGGACAAATAACAGTTCATAAATTCCCTGGGAGAACTATAGGCAAAAGACCAGAAGAGCAATTCAACTGCACAAATAAGAGAAGTAGAGGGTTAATTAAAGTAGTGGATGGACATTAGACTATGATGTTCTACATAATAATTCCAAGCACAAAAGTGTTAGTTTCATAAAGGCAACCAAAAAAGACAGGGGAGTTTGGTAAAAATAGTTCAGCTTTCTTAAAACAGTTATGTTCCAAGAAAGAACACATTACTGAAAAAAGATATATTCAAAATGAAGGAAAACTCTTGCAAATGCAGAGTGCATGTCCTGCCTTAAGCAGTAGCAGTCATTTTTCTCCTCCTTAGTAGCTGGTGCAGTGCTGTGGTTTTGACTTTCAGCCTGGGAACAGCACTAATAACACCGATGTTTTTAGTTGTTGCTAAGTAGTGTTTAGTCTGACCAAGGACTTTCTGAGCCTCATGCTGTGCCAGGGAGGAGGGGAAGTCGGAAGGAAGCAGAGACAGGACACCTGACCCAAACTGACCAAAGGGGTATTCCATACCACAGCACGTCATACCCAGTATATAAACTGGGGGCAGTTACCTGGAAGGGCCAGATCACTGCTGGGGTTGGGCTGGGTATCAGTTGGCTGGTGGTGAGCAGCTGTATTCTCTTCCCTTGTTATTTCCCTTATCATTATTATTATTGGTGGTAGCAGCAGTGGTTTGTGTTATACCTCAGTTACTGGGCTGTTCTCATCTTGACCCATGGGAGTTACATTATTTCGCTTCTCCTCCCCATCCCTCCATGAGCAGGGGGAGGAAAGATGGGTGAGTGAGAGAGCAGCTGTGTGATTCTGGGTTGCCGGCTGGGCTTAAACCATGACAGTGCAAGATCAGATCTCTGGCTAAGAATGTTAACAACAGGCATGCAAAACGACGAAATAGAAGACATAAGGATAGACCTGCGGAAATATAAGTACATAAATGTTACAGAGAATTAACAAAACAAAAAATAATTTGTCAACTTAATCCGTGGGCAGACTTTTTTCAACAGTTATTTATTCAGCTGCAAGAATTATTAGTAGATATATCTAGGAGCTAAAGCAAAGCAAGGTTAGAAAGATGAGCAGATATAGTTGCTGACAGAGACGGGAAGGGAAGAACAAAGTTACCCAATTCAGAAAGTTTTTCGAATTACTGCTTTTTCTCTTTCTTTAAAAGCTCTTTCTTTAAAATTAGATGTAAATCTTCATTAGTCCAAGTAATATCCTCAGATCAGGGTGCTTAAGCAGTGTCCTCATTACAATAGGAGAAATATTCCACTTTCCTTTAGTTTGTTATGGGAAAATTCTCAGGAAAAATACATGTAACTAAGTTCAATATTATATATATATGTGTGTATATATATACATATATATATATATATATACAGAGAGAGAGAGAGAGAGAGAGAGAGGGAGTGTGTTCATACCGAAGCTTTACCTATCCTCTTTAAAAATACAGGTTATTTGGTCAGCATTTGTGTTAGTTCAGTAGCATTTTAATGACTTGGAAGACTCAGAAGGGAAATTAAATCAATTAAATAATGTATTTATTATTGGAACAAATACACCAGAAAGTCTGGATTGATTTAGCCAGATGTTGGTGTCCACAGTGTTACATTAGATTGAGGAGGTATATATACAAGTATATACAGTATTCATTGAGGAGGTCCCCCTTGTGTTCCATGTACAGTCAATGAAGAGAAGGAGGAAATTTTCTGAGGGAATTCATTTCACCCAAAAGCAGAGATACAAAGTCAAGTAGTTTATGCTAAATATTTATGTCATTCTGCTGACTCCATAGGCAGCTCAGGAAAATTTGTTCAAATTTGTAATCTTTTTTTGTGCTCATTTTGTCTTTAAAGTTTTAAAGTTAGAACATGAGAAGATGAAAAAAGTACTTATACCAGAGGAATTGCATGGGTCATAAGATTACAACCACCAGTTTTAGGGTGCAGAGAAATTACGTGTCATGTTGCAGGGAAAGATGACAATGAGATCTAGGGACAATACTGTGCTGTCCCTAAGAAGAAACAATAGCTAGAGTTTGCACTAGAATTAGCCATCCTATTTTTTTTTTTTTTATTTATCCTCCCAAATACTCTTCCTAAAAGGAAGACTTTATGGTTTCTTTCTTGATGCTTCAGGGTAATTTCTGAAGTCTTTGTTTTAAACAGCTCTTTTCAGGACATTATCACCCCATTTATTGAGTTACTGTGAGTAACTGTTTCCTGTGGCACCTTTTCTAATGCCCTTTTTA